GAGCTGTGGGCTGGAGGAGGGGCTATGTATCCAGAGGGAGGAGCTGAGCAGTGGGAGAGAAGCTGAGTATTGGGGGAGGAGCTGTGTGGTGGGGGTGGAGCTGTAGGTAGGAGTAGGAGCTGTGTATTGGAGAAGGAACTGAGCTTTGTTGGAGAGGAGCTGAATATTGTCGGTGGAGGAGACAAGGGTTAGGGGAGGAGCTAAAAGCTGAAGAAAAAAGCTGTTGGTGCTTGAGGATGCGAGACACCTGATAGATGGTCAGGGTTTTCTTGCACAGTTTGAGCTCTGTGATCACGGGTTCGAGACAGAAATTCCCAAGCAGTGGAGCACACTGTGCACCACAGAGGATAGGGTTGGATTAACTGACCAGCGTTCTCTTGTCTCTCAGCAAACACAGAGACCCCTGGCACTTGTAGGCATGGAGTACTGCCAGAAGAGGGACATGTCTCTCCTGTAATCGGCAGTGCAGGACTGCATTGCTTGTGACGTGTTAAATCATGACTGTCTCGCAGGTGGGTGGGTCGGAGGAACCTGCCCACATTTCCTCATTCTCCCTCAATCTCAATGTGTGCAGTTGCATGGATTGTGGCACCTTAAGATCCACACAATTGGCATGCCAAATCGGGTGAGATCAAATGCTGAATTATTTTAAAAATAGTAAAAAAAAAGCAAATCACCGGAAGGATTATGAGCCGACACACCAATCATGTGCAAAACAGCACTGAGAATTTGTGCCATCAGTGAAGTATAAAGTCGCCCCCTGTGAATACATTTGGTTTGGTAATTGGAAATAAAAAGAGAAAACCAGTTCCGCCTAGTTTCGCCTTTCACAGTCAGCCTACACCAAAAGAGCCTGATGAATATTTAAACAGCTGCAGTGCACATACCCTGAAAATGAGGAATTGATAGCAAGAGAGAGACAATACAGGCAGCACTAAAATGACTGTCAGTGTTGAAAGATGTCAAGCATGTAGAGGGCCCCCATAAGTCAATTGATACTACATATATTAGCTGTTATGGTTAACAAACAATTAGATAGCCATTAGTGTGAAGCTTTTTGATCATGAACTCAGTGTCTGATAATGTGACTGCTGTTAACTGATACAGTATTTCCCTTTCCTGTTAAGATGAAATGCTGCTCTTAGATACGGCCGTGACTAGCAGCACAACTGACTGAATTCACCTCAAGTGTGTCTGGGCCTCTGTCACTCAGAGAGCCAGATGAGCTTCTTCATTCTTGCTTTGGAAACCACAATAACAAAGTAACAGAGAACCTGTTCCTGCATTTGCTGCCATACAGAGGAATTTCTCCCAGGTTTTCTGAGAACGCAAGACTCCTAGAGCTTATGAAAAGTGAAGTACACTCTACTTAAGAGAAAAATTATCATGCATACATTTTTACAGGAATCAAACACTGTTGGAATCTTTGAATTATATCATATCAAAAATACAATACATATACATACACAGACCAGATTCACTGAGGGCCAGCAGGTTTTCTACAGCAGGTCACTTTACTTCATCAAGTGCTGAAATTCTTTAAAAAATGTTAAACTGGTCAGGATAAGTGAACGATCCTGTAAACATTAGCCAAATATTGGAAACCCCTGTATGTCAAATGAGGCTTCCTCTGGGGGCTCAGGCCGACCTAAACAGATTTGATTTGTGCTTGAAACCAAATCTCAGACATTAATTCCACAGAATGAAGAGTATTAATCTATTCCACTGTTTCATCAGCATAACTGTGTTCAGTGTTCATTATAACTTGACGTAGGATCTGGGATTAGATCCATTCAGACCACTATAACAATTGTATCGCATAAATGACATTTTTTAACTACTATTTTTGTAAATAGATGCTGAATTATTTATACAGTTCAGAGTGTCTTTTATTAATGTGCTATTGTGAGTGTATGTTTGCATGCTGCCTGTTTTATTGAACATGTAAGCGTCTGTGTATTAAAACAGAACAGGGAAGGAAGGAGGGACATATCAACATGTATATGTCAATTTAAGACACATAACCTTCCTGGGACAGAATAACCTACAGACCTCAAAACTAAATACTGGTGGAAGCAGTGGAACGTGTAGTTCAAGCCCACAAACCATTGCTCTGATCACCACCTCAGCCAAAGGCTATGCTGCAAGAACAATTTAAATAAGAATAAAGAATTCAGGGCCTAGCAGGATACATGTCACGCCCTGTTCAAGCAGGGAATGGTGCTCATAGTGGTCCAGCTATTTAAGTTATTCTGTGGAGGGATTTTTAAAATTCTGGTCCCGTGCACATGTGCTTATACAGACATAAGGACACTGGTCTGTGCACAACAGGACAAGCTCCAGTCACCTGTGGGTGTGGAAAGCACCGAGGTTTCCATGACAATATTTTGAACTAGAGCAAAGTCTGCTGCTGTGTGGAGGGCTTGTCTGGGAGTTATTTAGGACACCTGTAGATATGGCAGCACAAGGGTTAATTCGCCATGTGATTGTCCTTGGAAGGAATAAAAAAAAGACTGTGTCCTTCAGCAGCTTACCTTTAACAGAACAAATATTATCTCTGCATGAGAAAATGTGGACTAAGTACTTCCAACAGCCTTCTTATCGGGGTCGATTTCCAGTATTTGGTAACCTATAGGAAATCCCTCTTCAGCAATTTGGACTGCACAAACAGCCGCGTCTACAGAAAGACTCTTAAAATTAAACAAGGTCTGTATGAAACACATCCCCGTATCTAGGGATCTGCTGTATAGAACGGGGCGGGAGTTGTCAATCAAGACTAATTATGATAACCCATGCAGGAACTCGGAGTGGAGGCATATTTGTGCAAACATAAGTCTGAAAATGCTTTCACTGGCACAGAGCCGACCCTTGCAAACCACAGAACAAGTTATTGTCCCCTTCTTGCATTCAGTCTTCTTCGGATCAGCTAACTTGCCTTATCAATAGTTCTCATGATGCAGTTATATCACCTTGGGCAAACACTTGGGCAGTGTGTACACCACTTAGCGAGAGCAAATAGCCCAGGTGTTTGACAGAGCCCCAGAAATTGTTTTCGCGGAGCCTGCAATCTTTCCTCATATTTCGGCGTTCTCATTAATCAAGCGAGGCGACAGGCGTGTGCGAGTCCGCGTGATGGCGGACAACCCTTCTGCCTGTTTGTGCTGGCGGGAGGCGTGGCTCCTCTTTAACGTTTGCGGAGTGGAGTGAATCTGTGCCATCGGGGGAAAAGAGTTTCCCTCGTACTGTTTAAACAGATTAAAAAATGGGAAAAGGGCTCCTGAGTGGCTTAACCAGTTGAGGCAGTCTTCAGGCTGCTTGTTGAGCCTCTAAACCAGACACAGCCCAGAGCTATGCTGCCAGCTGACTGTTCCCAGGACTCCTGTAGGTGACACACATGACTGCCCGAGTGGCACTGGGTCAGGAAAGGCTTGACTTGGTCCCTGGGTCTGGTGGGCCAGTTGTGAGCATGCAGTGGTGTCTGTGAGAGCAGCACTGACCTCCCCCCAGTGCTAAATCTCCCCTCTGTGTACTGCTGGATTTACAGTCTGAGAAGCGGTGGCTCTGATGTGATCTGAGGGGATTTGTGGAGTTAAGCAACAACCAGTTAATCCTGATTAATAATCACTGATTTACGCTGACTAACAATCACCAATTCTCGAGAGCATAAAAAATAAACAATTAATCGTGATCAATAATTACCGATTAATCCCGATTAACTAGCACTGATTCTCAAGAGCATGGAAGGAAAATGATTAATCTTGATCACCGATTAATCTTGATATACAATGGCTGATGAATTGTGATTAACAATCACTGATTCCACAGTTTAAAAGAGAAGGGGAAAGATGTGGAAATGTGGAATACAACGATCAGAATGAAGTGCACAATGAATGGGAGCCCCCAACAGTGGCTGTTGGTGACCCAAAACCAGATGCCAATGCTTCACTCCTCATAGCAGGTCCATCTCTCGCAGATCTGACTCCACTACCTTTGCTAGGAGATAATTGGCAAACGTGTGTCCCTTACCTTCCTTAAGCTCAGCTGGGCCTCTTTTCCTCTTCCTCATGTTCTCTTTTCTCTTGGGAGAGCTAGTGTCTTCAGAGAGCATTTCCTGGTTGCTTTCAGAATCGTACGTGATCGTCATCTACATGAACGCAACACATATAGCTGATAAGGCACTTAGAACAGCATTTCCATCTGCAGAAGCTGCAGGTACCACGTGCTTTTTTATGTCAATCACTGAGAAATTAGAATGAATGCAAAGGGCAGTGGTGATTGAGTTCATGATTTGTAACATTATTTGAGGGTTGTGTTTGCAGACTCACAAGCCCAGCTTACAGTGCAGGGGAGTTCTGTGAAATCTTTACAAAGACCCATTCCTAGAAAATACTCCAGTTACTAGAATTCTAGGAGAAGCTGACATTGTTTCAAGCAGACGTGTTCTCAACCACCCTTCAGCATTTCAAAACTAACTCAAGATGAGTCATAAAGGTCGCTTACAAGCTATGTTGTGTTACACCCCCAGCACATATGCACACATAAAATGGATACTTTAAAAAAAATGTTTTAAGACTCTCTGCTCTCTGAGGTTTACTGCTGTCCTGGTCTGGAGAGAATGAGACATGTGGATGCATACATCTGCCACGCCCACTTCTAGAGCCATACTGTATGTCATTTCCCATGGTGGCAGATCCACAGAGCACTACAGCAAAGCGAGTGCCAGCTGGCTGTGGGAGTGGCACATCTCTCTGACAAGACCGCAAAGCTGCAAGCTGGAAAACCAAGAGAGCCTTGGCAGACTGATCTCAACTTCACACTAGCGGCTACACACACTGGCCACTGACGTACCCTGGCTTGAAAATCCTACGCAGCTCTATAAAAAAAGATATCTTGTCATCAGAGTCGACGTTACTTGTAATTACGATTTTCCCACAGTAATTCAAGCCGCTCTCATGCAAAATTCAAAACACGACTGTCATTCTGAATATGTTTAACATTCGCACAATCTCTCCGGGCCTGCGGAATGATTAAGTGATCGAGGCTGGAGTGAGATTACTGCGATGCTAACCTCACTGTCTGAAGAATCGTGGTCCTCTGATTCTGTTTTCAGGGCCTCCAGGACAACCACTGCAAAGACAGATTCATGACTACCACCAGGTATCAGTAAACTGGAGTTTTTTCTTATTGGCATATAGAGCTGATCTTGCCGCAACCTTAATGTTCTGTGAGATCAAATAAAAACTGAACAAGTGGACTGACAGCTCTCAAGATGTGTAGCATATTGCTTAGACCCTGGATTAATAACTGTATTATAAGAACTTGAAACATTATGAAACCATGAAAGACAAATTTTACTAAATATCAAAGGCATAAGGTAATGCTTACGGAAGTAAAAAAATAATAAAATGAAATGTATTCTGTGCCAGAACAAAAAAAAATTAAATGCAATTTGTGCCAAAATACCACAAATATGAAAAACTGAAATAAAAAAAGAACTGCCAGTTTCAAAGATACAGCAAACTTAAAATACAGATTACAGAATGCGTGCAAGAAATATCGTATTAAAAAAAGATCTTTGGAAGGCCAACATGTTATGGCTTTAAACACTGCAAAAGATACATTAACATTTGCACAATATGCAGAATTGTGTACCTGGACAAAGTGAAAGTCCTAAGCTTTTCTGTTCATTTGGTGAAAATTTAATGGATATTATGGGACTTGTCTCCTCCTTTTCTTTTTCTTTTTCTTCAGCTTCATCCTGGAAGCAAATTACCAGATCAATTTCTGAATGAAAACAAGGTACACCATCACTGCCATGATCATGTGTCGATCAAACCTAAGGAATCCAGGGCTGTTTGACATCTTCACTTTGTAATGTGGTTGCACTCGTAAAATGAAGAAGAAAAGAGAAGAGAGCATGAATGAGGAGCTCACCCTGCAGTATGTGTGGGTCCTAATGCCCCAGTATAGGGACAGGGACACTATACTGTAAAAGGGCGCCGTGCTTTGGATGAGACATAAATTCAAAGCCCTGCCTCTCTGTGCATTTCTCAAAAAGAGTAGGGGTGTTCCCCCCGTATCCTGGCCAAATGCCCCCCCTGGTCTTTACCAATCATAGCCTCCTAATAATCCCCATCTATGACCTGGCTTAATTACTGTGTTCTCCTCCCCACTGAGAGCTGGTGTGTTGGGAGCGTACTGTGTGCACTGTGGCTGCCGTCGCATCACCCAGGTGGTTCTGCACATTGGTAGTGGAGGGGATCCCCATTACCTGTAAAGCACTTCGAGTGGAGTGTCCAGAACAGCGCTATAGAAGTGTGAGATTCAGTGTTATTATATTAAGAGTTCACAGGGTTACTCACTGATTGCTCAGCTGTTTTTCCCTGCTCTTCCTGTGGGGGGCAGTGGTCTGCCGCAGGGGACTGAGCTTGATCTGAGCTGGAGGAGCCGTGGGTGGGCAGCGGAGGATCTGCCGCAGAGGGCTGTGCGTCCTTCGGGCTCCCGCCAGAGGGGCCGTCGCTCTCCGCCTGGGAGTCGACCTCCTCCGGCGGCTCCTCGGCCGGCTCGCTGAGCTGCCGGAACTTCCCGCGCTCCGACAGGTCCAGCGGCTTGTCCAGGGTTTTTTGGCAAGGGCTGACCAGCTTTCCCAGTTTCTGATCGAGGCTGGCCCTGGCTTTCCCCCCCTCCCTCGGGCTGCTCTCCGCCGGCGGGAGTTTGTTCAGAGAGCTGGCCGAGGCACGGTACAGAGCCGCCTTCCCGTCGTACCAGCAGAACTCCGGCTCGGGCTTCTTCCCCAGCAGGCTCCGGGGGCTGGGGTCCAGGTGGTAGTCCTTCATGTACACCAGGTTGCCGAAGAGGTCGATCACCGGTACGCCGCTGTCCAGCGCCTCCCGAGCGCGGAACCAGTCCGGCGGGCCCCCCGCGGGCCAGCTGTAAGCCAGGTGCTGGCCCTTGTCCACGACGTGTGGCCGGAACGGCACGGGCGCGTGAACCTGGTGGAGCGGCTTCGCGCCCGGAGCGGCCCTCCTGGTCGCCGCCGGGGGCGAGCGCGACTTCCCCCGCACTTCCACTCTCTTCGCCCTGCAGGGGGCGATAAACACATGCCGTCTCCTTAGTCGCATTCAGAGCATTCTCGATTGGACTCAAAGCGCTGAAAATCCTTGCTTCGTCACAGCCTACCAAATAATAACACACATTCTATCTATCTACAGAAATCTAGATGCACAAGAATCCTCCTGTCTAGATCCACCAGCTAAAGTAGCTCTTTCAGGAGCACTGTACGATATCAACACAGCGGATGGACAGCCAAGGCACCCTCCCAATTCTCTCACCTCTTCTCGATCCCTGGACTGCCCTGGGAACTACTCCTCTCCTCTCTCGAACCCGGAGACACCACAGCTATGGTGCTGTGCAGTGTATTGGACATCCTCTGGGCGTGGTGCAGTGACAGGACAAACAGGGACAGTCAGGCTGAGATGGTTGTTAAGGACGGAGTTGTGTGCAGCTTTGCCTACTGTTCCTAAAGGAGCCCACAGGCATCTTCTTGTCTGAAACCTCACTTGTGTTCCTACTGAATGCATTTAACTGAACTGAACATTGGAACTGAATGCATCTAATAGAAAAAAAAAGATTACACCATCAGAGATATATGTTTCAAGGAATTTATTTAATTTAGTGTTGTATAAAGGATACAAAAGAAAGTACAGCCATCTAATTCTTAATAACTAATCTTTTTCTGAAGAATTTATATGAACCTGATTTTCTGCTTAGAATAACAGCTAATGTGTGATGCATTTTTACAACATCTGAACAAGACAAACAATACTATGAAAACCATGAAATACTTACATGAGTGTCTTGTCCATTCCAGTTAAGCAGCTTTCTGAGAGGATGGGCACCATCTACAAAATTGAAACAAAAATGGACGGATTTTAGAAAACCGTAGTCCAAAGAGTATGTTAACAGAGGGCTTTGTAGATTTGTTTAAATTATCTGTACAAACAATATTGTATCAGTGCTAGCAATGTATGTTCTTTTATTGTTTTGTAATACTTGTTATGTGATAATATTATGTAATTTACAAACCTGTGGATAATTCTAAATATTTAAAAGAGGGATCATTTCTTAGATCTGACATGTTGTGTATTAAGCTCTGTCATATACCGGAACAGTTCCTGATAAATATTTGTTCCTTCCTTGTTTTAATGTGGTTAAAAAAATGAATCATGCCGTTGCTAACTCATGTGTAAGCACACAATCTAGATGATTCTTGAGCACTTCCTTCAAGGAACATCCCTTAAAGACACTTTAAGGGATGTTCCTTGAAGGAAGTGCTCAAGGATCATCTAGATTTCTGTTTTTCGAAAGCCTTAGGGTATCCTGCCCGGAAAAAAATGGAAAGATCACACATACCGTCACCAGCCGATTGTCGACTTTGCTCGGGGTTCCTGGAGATGGGCTGTCCCGGAAGAGCGCCCTCTGTTGTCTGCTTCACAGAGGTGAGCGGAGGCAGCACGGCCGCAGATTCTGGTGACAGGTTTGCGTCTGGGGTGGACGCGGTGGAACATTTGCCGTTCTGTTCGCTGTTGAGACACAGATAATAACGACTAGACCTAAAAAAATCAGACAACCTAACAGGCAGCCCCGGGCCTGCAGGTGTTCCTGGTTGGACCCCTGGACCAGAATTTCCCAATCTGTGTCCCAGTATGGTGACTGGGCGCACTGTGAGACATACAGACAATACAGATTCAGGTCCAGGCAACCTGGCCATCAAAGATCCTGTAGCACGGACTGTAAGAATTCCTTTAACCTATCCTGGACTTATTTCACTCAGGGCTTGGACGATGTGGTCTCCCTGAAGTTCCATCTTGTTTCAGCTGGTGAAGCAGTTTTTTTTCTCACTTCTCTACCTGAAATAGTCAGGCTGCTGGTGCAGAGTTGCTGCTGCACATTATTCGGGCGGGTAGATGAAGTGGGTCACCTGATGTATAAGTGCATGTGTGCCATCTGTGTGACTGTGACACAGTCATGTAAAAATCCAGCAGGGACTTACTGCAGCACACTTTGTTGGGGGAGGGGCAAGACCTTTTCTAGCACACTTAGTTGGGGAGGGGGGGGACTTACTTCAGCATACTTTGCAGGTTCTTGACCTCTTCCAGGAGCCTCTTGTTTTCCTTCTTCAGCATGGTCATCTCATTCACTGTGGACAAGGACAACAGGTGCTGGAAAGTGAGCCAGGCAACTTTTCACAGGGTTTCTCTCTCACAGCAACACCTTTCACTCAGGCACGGGGCACAGCGCCAGGAAAGGAATGTTTGTCACCAAGCACGGTTCATCTCATTTCCCTGGCTGTTGGATTGCAAAGGTTGTATTATCGTGTTTTGTAAGTTTTAACAGTGCACTTTTAGTAGAGCAATTCTATTGCCTTGCCAATACTTCAAGCTGGGATTCTTTGACTACAAACTACCTTACAGAGAGAGAAAAAGGAATAATTTTCTTGTTATTATTTTTATATGTAGTTGCCAATTATTTATCTGGAGTTTCACACTAATCTAAAGGTTCAGTGGTCCTGTACCAACTGGTGGAGTCACACATCCTTCACTGATGGCAAGCCTGCACAAGAACAGGAAACTACAGGGGTCACAGCTTTGTCCAATCTTTTCCATATCCATGAGAGCCCTGGCCAGCTACTTCCAGCTCTGATCTAACTGGGCCTCGAGATGCTACAGTAGGCTACTGACCACAGCTTGAACTCACAACATCTGGATCATAGAGCTCAACCTGTGCTCAGAACAGGTGCCTTTACTGGCTGATCCCTGAGCAGAACGTTCTGTTCGTTTAGTTTAGGTGCTGTAAATAATACTGTAAGACTAATGTGTAATCATGGCTTTGAAATGCATCAAACTGCCACCTTACCAGCTTGTTACTTTAGGGACTACATGAAAGAACAGGAATCTACCTGAAATGACAACTGTACCTAAAATGGAGATGTGCTGCAGACTCTGCATTTGAGATGTTTCATATTCATGCTGCTTCTTTTTGGCAACATCCTGAGTGACTGTACATCTGTCGCACAGACCTGCTCGTAACCTGGAAGAGTTGCAAGGCAGATGAGTCAGTCTCGAACATTTTTAGCAAAGAAGTGGAATGCACAAGTGCAGGCAAACACACCCATTTGCATGGGTGTCTTTGTGAGGACTTCTATCAATTCTCATTCTACATTTATTTATAATCACACTCCACCCAAATGAAATTCCAGACAGAGGTGAAAATAGACCTTAAACAATTATTTTTGGCACTTTTATGTTAAGAATATGCTTAGGACATTCTCTCAGCCCAGTCCCCTTCATTGACAAGAACACAGTATATACCCATACACTTTTGTCATCTAACAAGATATATTTTGCAAGAGAGTGGAGGATTCATACCAAAACACCAACTTGGGCAAAGGTAAAGACAGAACTTAAAAATGCAATTTAAACTATGACCGTGTGAATAATTGAGAACTGAAATAAGAAGACTCACCTATTTTCCAAGAGCTTCACGTTTTCATTGAGTATCTTCTGCTGCTCTCGTAACTGCTGGTTCTTGGTGAACAATTCATCCATTCTTTGTGCATCACTGCTTACCCAATAAATAGATTATTAGATTATTAAATTATTGATATGTTTATGACTACTAAAACAGCATCTGATAATCAAAGTATTTTCAAGTAAGGAAGCAAAGAATTTCCTCAGAATTGTAATAAATAGTATAACTTTTAGCTCCCAAGCCAGTATCTTGACAGGCACAGTTTTTGTAACCCAGATCTGTGCAAATGGGATGAACAGGCCTAATTCCCTTTATTCATTACTGTAGGTGAAACCATATGGTGTAACCTAACAGAATGAACTAAGCCAACATTAGGGCAAGGGCTCAAGCAAAAAGATGAAGAAAAAGGCACAACCAGGCATGCACCACATGGTAGTTTCCATAATGTGAATGTGTTGCCCTTCCGAACCACATAAAGTTCACCACTTTCATTTTGTAGGGAGGTTGTCGCCTTTGTGAAGATTCTAGGACTACAGAAAAATTCTACTGTTACTATAATCACAAACTGTTTAAAGGCAAGATTGTATTTGATTTGAAAAACGTCTAGAAAAAAAATGACTTAAATAGTCCAACCCATGTACCAGCCATCCTCTCTATGCAAACCTGATTCTAAAACCCCATGCCTCTTTTACTGAAATGGATTTTACCCATTCAGAAGATGCATGCCCTGCACACTGCCCTCTTGCCTTGGAGGACTAATGCAGCTGTGCCAGCTGATTTGGAACCATAGCTGAGGTATTTAGATACAGTGTCAAGGTACTGTGGAGCTGTACCTCCCTACACTGAACTGAAAGAACTTGGCTGCTCCCTTAAGAGAGTGCATTAAGGTGAAGGTGTGGTATACTGACTCCTCCAGCACACCTCACCTTAATGAAGGGTAAATTGAGGCAGCTCTTACATTATCCTTGCACACAATATGGAATAACTCATTTCATTACACAGAGGTCTCAGGACTTACCAGCATTTTTCCTTATTGAGCTCTGTCACTTTTTCTTGCCAGGCTAGTGAACGATAAAAAACAGTTAGTATAGACATGCAGTGATGGCACTTCAGATACCAGTTAGAAGAAGGTGGTTCATGAACAGCATCACATCAAACCCAGAAGTAATTCAAGGCAGATAGTCACCAGAGTCACTCTTGAGAAACTGACAATGGCAAAATGGGATGCCTATCTCCTCATTGGTACCAGAAGTACATCAAACACTGGTCCTTAACATTATAAATTCCATGTCTCAAACTACCCGAGCCAGCCACTAGCATAAGTGTTCTAATAAAGCTTGGAGGTTTTTATGTGTAAAATATTTTCATTGCTATGGTCCTTTAAAAAAGATATGAAACCAGGAAAGAGTCAAAGGGGGTACCTCTTATCTCTTTGTCATGTAAGTCTCGAAGCTTGTTCAGCACATCATCGAAGTTCTCTGCTGCCATGTCTAAAAACCACTTATAGGGTCTCAGCAGTGTTTATTCTGCAGATGCCTGCTGGTTCCTAAATCGCACAAAAAATAAAACGATTTACAATATTCGAAAAGGTTTACAATCCAAGGAAGCTTCGCTCTACGAGAAACAGTAGATTATTGTTGTTTCTAGTAAAACTTTGCTTTTCTTTTGCACAACTGGTTTGATTTCTGCTTTAACATGTTCTTTCCATCTCAGCTCACACAAATGATTCCTCATCCTGCCAGCCGCTCCTTGAACCTGCACACCCACAGAGGTTTCATCATTTGAGCTTGATATGAGCCCCTCAGCTCCTTATAGGAGAGTCAGTGCCTGATGATGTCTCTCCCTGACATCACTGCAAGCCCACAGGCACCTGGGAAGTCACAACAGTTGCTGTTTTGCCAAGACTGACTAAGTCCTGTACTGCCCCTGAAGACATTTTGCTCTGCCAATTGTGCAACACTACTTGTTTCTTACTACATTTATTCAGGGAATTAAGTTTTCAAGCCCTGGAAAGTCCTGCAATAAAACTAGAGCTTGCACTTATATTGCCAAGCCTCTGTCCACCCAGAAAATAATTCTAATATGGGTTTCCACTCCTGCCTTCTTCATTAGCCCTAGAATATGAATGCACATCCCTGTCTTTTTAAAGAGCAGTTTTGTCGTCCAAAACTTGTACCTGCAAGTGTATAACCGCTCCAAAGAAAGCTGAACCCATATCAGGCTGGAATTAACTGAACCAGCCTTTCTAGTTTCTGGGAAAGTGCCTAAGGCTGACTTTTTTTGGAGCAGAAAGGAGTGGTTTTTATTTTCACAGCTACTTTCGGAAGTGGAAAATGGACCTTTTTCAAGTACAAGAAGAAAGTCAGGCTGCATGACACAAATGGTTGATTTCTAAAGGTGTAAAAAGAAAGGTGATCATTTAAAAAGAAAATCAACTTTGAAGCAAACTGTAAATCTAAAATCTAAAACTAAAATCCCCAGACTCTTTTCAGCTGGCACTGTTGAAGAAGCACATGTAGAAAGAGGAGATATGGAGGTGTGTCTGAAGAATGTATGTGATCTATCTATGTAGGGGAAGCTGCCTGAAACATGTTGCTGTAGTTTTTGAACAAAAAACACTTACGGCAATATTATTTGCAAGTTAACAGTATTTCTTATACATTAATAGTAAGTTGTTTTATCATGTATACCAAAGTGAGTCAGCCCAGAAAATGTCTTTCTTTCTGCAGAGAGATGATACACAGCTTTAAATATACATTTAGGATCATTTCATTAGTATTAAATTTACATGCAGACATCAAAATTAAAAAAAATTAAAACAGACTTGGTCAATCACTAGGTAACCTTAATGGGCGACATCCTAATTGTTGAACTGTCATGCTACAGCTTCGGTTTGAGCTTTTATATACAGTGGTGAAGGCGATGGAAACCACAAAGCAAAGCAATAGAGGCAGTTTTTTTATTCAGTGGTTTCTGCAGTTTTTCACAGCAATGTTTAAACTGCAGAAATGTCCTTTGCAGAGGTTTCCCAGTCGGTTTGTCACAGTCCTCCATGCTTTACGCTTATTTTGGTGCTTCAGGTCTTTGAACTGTGTCCCTACCACAGTATAAAAGTGTTGGTTTACCAACAGGCGTGGCTGGAGCATACTATGCCTTAAATGGTGTCCTTCTGAGTTTTTAATGAATTTCTGCAATGCTTATTCTTTTAGTGAAAACCTTCACTCAAGGGGTGTCAAAGATGTAGACAAGAAGCTGCTTGGACTGGCTGTTCCTGAGTTAGCTGTCCAGATGACAGTGCCGCACTCACGCTGTGTTCACCTAGAGCTGTTACCAACTCTTCAATAAGTCCTTTTGGAGCTCTTTGTATGTAAAACGGTGAGTGGCTACTTGTGTGATACACACTTACACTGGAGGAAAGTCTGCCTTCCTCACTACATTTCCACTGGTTAGAGGAAATGAGCCTTAGCCGAACTGGTTCAAAGCTTAGTGCTTTGTTAGCAAGGATGGGATGAAAAGAAAAGGGGAAGCATTACATACAATGATCATGCGCTCTGAAAAGTGCTGTATAAAATATAGGTTATTATGGTAAAATTGGGATGAACATCAGAAAAAAATATTTTGGTAACCCAAAAAGAGGTTTCTTTCCTTCTCCTGTCATCATACTTTCTGAGTCATATAAAATACCTGACACTGTTAACAAGTTTACAAGTGGGGAGAGTTGTGTTCTGTGTTTCCCCTAAAGAGACAGGTGTTGTTCAGGAAATAGTGGTGCTACAGCCAATACAAAAGCATGTAATGAGGAAAGTAGAATTTCTGCCTATAGTATGCATGTCTTTGCCTCTGACTCCATGTGTATGATGCATAGGGCACTGTAACATCACTAACATTTTTAAATTCCCAAATGTGATAAAGCAGACTTTCTGAGGGTGTGAGCCTCTTGATTTGTATTTAAACGTCAGCCGCTTTTAACAAGTTAGGATATGTTAAATGTCTGTATCAAACGCTCCAAACAAGAAACTGCATGTTCTTACTAGATTAGTAGTCTGCCGAGTGCTGAGCTATAGGCGTTAATCCCCTCCTACAAATTGGTAGCTGAAGCCTTGTAACGAGAGACTAGCATTTGAATCCTCATTGCAGTGACTGGGCATTCAGTGCCTAATCTTACCCGGTGTGCATGCCACAGTTTCTTCAACTTGTCATCTTTCTGCACAGGCTCTCAGGTTAAACTACACATCATTGAAGAGAAATTTGATCATTTGTCAAGAGTATTGTAATGACTGCAGAACATCCCTCTCTTTAAGGGATAAAACCAATTAGTGTACCCTTTCTGCATGTCCTCTAACAGTGTCAATAGATTAGGATCCTACTTACCCATAGTGCTATTAAGTAAAAAATGACTTGCAATTCTTATCTGCATGCATGCTGTTTCAATTAGGTAATAAAAAAGCAGCTCATAGCGAATGAGAATTTATTCTTTCAAAAGACGTGTAGTTTCAATATAGAGATTGCCAGTGAAGTCATCTCCCTTTAGCTACAATTTATGCAAATCCTCACAACACAACAGGATGTGTGAATTTGATCCATCTGACCCACTTGATAATAATAATGTTTCTTTATTAGCCCTATACAATTTCTTGCATTAGGAATGCGTCTTTTCGCATACCCCAGCTTTTCTCCATAGAGACACAGACACAGAGACAGGGAGAGAAGCTTGGGGTCAGAGCGCAGGGTCTGCCATTGTACGGCGCCCCTGGAGCAGTTAGGGTTAAGGGCCTTGCTCAGGGGCCCAACGGAGTAGGATTCCTCTGCCGGCCGCGGGATTTGAACCGGCAACCTTCCAGTCACAGGCGCAGATCCTGGGCCACAGAGCCACCGCTCCGCCCTTATCATTCTATCATTCTAATAATGAGTACATTATCATTCTAATAATGAGTACACCTGTACACATTATTAGAAGCCTGAGTGTAACCCTTCACTCAGCATCAGTCATAGAAAAGCTCAACAAGAAAGTAACATTAACAGGAGGTGTGAAACTGTGTTCCTAAGTAACATTAACAGGAGGTGTGAAACTGTGTTCCTGCCTAACTGGCACACCATTCAGTTGTACACTTTGCATTACCCAACACAAAGGCGGTGTCCAGACATGTAGAAACGTGGCTCGAGCTCTGGACCTGTAGCAGGAAGGCTATTGGTTCTCATACATTACAACACCCTTCTCTATGAATACAGTAGGTTAAAATGAGAAATTCTTCACATGAAGGGATAAATTGAATATATAAAAGGAATTCTGGAAATGTGCAACTTCCTCAGCCTTCAAATGCATGTTGGTATTTTTTTAAAAGTACTGATGTGGACTGTCTCCTGCTCAGCTGGATCCTGAGACGTGCTCACTGTAAAAATCCCTGTGGAAAAGCTCTCTGGAGTCAGCCTGGTCTGTGATGACTGATATATTCAATTAGTATTTTCCTATCTGAACTGGACACAGTCCTCACTAATCCAGCTGTGCCTGCATTCCATACCTCAGCAGCACACATACAATCGGAAATTCTCTTTGGGCTACATTTGAGGAAATGTTTAATATTTATTTCTTCAGTAAGACAAATGGAATTACGGCCCATGTAACACCAAGCTCTTGCAATATTAAACAGCTAAGATAGTAAATTGAGTGCTAATATTGTTTATGTTTAACTTGCACTTTGTTTATAGCACAAAGCTTATTTTACTTTGAATTAGGTGCATGCTTTGTGTAATAATTCTTACCAGTTAGTTTACTCTTATGCTGTTGCTGCATCCTAGCCTGAAGGAGACCTTTTCCACTTATTGTTCTACGATTCTGTTTTATTGTTACAGGGCCACACCTTCAAACATACCTGAAACCAAACATGTTTCATTTTTAGTAAATAACCGACTGATACATGATATTGATGTGTCTCTCTACATTGTGACAAGAGCTGACCATGTGAATCATTCTAATGTGAGTAAGATTCTTTAATTTCAGACTAGCAAGCAATTTGGCCATTAATGAGCAAGTATTTATTTATTACATATTGATTATTTTCTCGGGACAGTTTCATCAGCCTTTATCACACTGTTGTTGCTTTTAAAACATTCTTTAGCAGATTCCTGGAACTAACCAGGTTTATTGCTTATTGAAATGTTTATGGATGAATATGTTTTTTTAAATATTAAGACAGTTTCCTCTTTCCCCAGCTAATTTTAAACTCCTTTAAACAATATGCGTGGAATGTGGCTCGCCACACTACATACTAGTGACGCACTACACTGTGAATAAAAGCTGTATGAGAAAGGGACTGTGGCTGTGTGATGGGATCTGCTGCAGCACCGAAACCTGAGGACAAGTCATTGAAATGCACCTTTCATTGCAGAATGGTCTGCAGCAACGTAGGACAGAACATTGTGGCACAGGTTCTCCTCCTCTTATATGCACTGCACTGCCACAATTCAGGATACCATGGGAACAAATAATGTTTTGTGGAGCCTGAAAGCCAGTGTCGCTGGAGTAGGACGATAGGTGGGGAATCCGTGAGACCTAGCTCTTAGTGAGCAAAATATTATTTTATTCCCTAAATCTTGGGCATTTCAAATCTTGCTAAACTAATAACCGACATAATCCTAAGCTTCACTACCTATAGACTCCTTGTTTGGAACCAAGGAAATTACATCCTCATTATGACATTTTAACATCAGAAGAAAATAACCACCTTCCACCTCCCATAAAAGCCAGGCAGTTCTTTTCATCCTGCAGGGTCAAATTTATGTCTTTTTTTTTTGAGAAGGCAGTGCTACTGCTATAGGCACTATTGCATCATGCCTCATATAAAGACAACCAGCTTTCCAGCTAAGCAGATAGCATCATGGCAACATTATAAAGCGTGTCATACAAACATTTTTTGCAATGTTGCCACACATAAAATAGAATGTTAACAACACTGCTGCATTGTCAGCTTGGACCTTTGCTGTGTTCTGAAAATATTGTGTAGGAAACAACCCCAAGAAACATTTTCCAAACACATTTGCATAACATATTATCATATATTAAGTGTTGTAATATGGGTAAAATATTATGTCTGAATATGTGACAGAACATTTTCTTCTCTTTTTGAAGGTTTCCAAACCTCAAACCTGTAACATCAGCAAAATGAGATGAGAACCCACCAAGGACAATCATGTATCATGCTGTTAGTGGTCTGGACCAGGTGCAGAATTTCCAGTCTAAACCCCAAGTGGGGTGACTGGTGAAGGAGGTGCCGTAGGGGGTGCGCGTCATTACTTAGACATTAAAGACCCTATGGGAGTGTTCATAAAAACAAAAATGATGTTTTTATGAATGATGGCTGTGTGTCACCTGGGTTGGGGTGGGGTTGCACTTCAGTGACCTCAGTCCTCCCCTTGTGAAAAGCACTTTGGGATCCACTGGGACGAAGGGCGCTATGTAAAAGCAAGGGATTATTATTAAACATAGCCTCTCTATAAGCAATGTGCTATTTTGTTTTTATTGAAAAGGGGGCTTCAGTCCTGTACGTGCTGACATGGACATGGGCTTCGTTCTTAAAGGATACACCCCACTAAGTTTTTACTGATAACTTGTTCATCAATTGTTTTATTGATTTTATATCTCGAATTTCCAATGAACCATGATGCACCTGATGCAGCAGTGAGTCTTGACAAAATTCCAGGACTGAATTCTGTGAGTACTGTCATGACATGTCTATACATTGTATCAGTTTTACCACAATGGCATTCAGAGTTGCCTTTCCCATAGAAAGCTTCCACCTATCTGTTAATCTCTTTTTAAGCCTGGCTAGACCTTTTTGAACACCCCTCAAAAGTTAAACGCCACACATCATTTACCCATTACTTAAACTCTAAAACAGCATATGGTTTGGAGTGCAAGTGTTCACAAGATCACAGTCAAAACCCATTGTTTCTTTCTGGCTTTCTTAAACATAGAATTATTGATGCCATGATTCTTCAGTGAATCAGCCATTTTCTTTGACGTTTTTGTCTTTTTTGTCAAGAAAGATGGTTTCTGCTTGAAATGCCTGGGGTTTCTAATTCAAGATTCATAAGTGTGTCAGATGCTGAGTTAGTTCAGTCTAAAGTCTTAAGAACAATGTAAATATGAAAACCCATCCAATCTTAAAACATCTGTCACTAAAAATATTCTTATTTAGATAAGTGCATTATATTTGTATGGGTGAATAATTTACTGAAACAATCTAAGAGAAGTAGCTTGCTTAAGGGCAAAACTGTATTACCCCACCCAGGGTCAGAGCCATAACCATCCAGTCATGAATCCTGTGCCCAAACCATTACTTCACGCTGCTACTAACACATAAACACACTTTTCTAACTTTCCAGGGCTCTAGAGTCAAACAATCGGAGATGTCATTTTTGTAAAAAAAAAAAATTTAAAGATTATCCTCTCTCACTACAGGACAGTGCAAGTCTTCAAAGTTTCAGTTTTGTGGTCTTATTAGCCCTTTATCACTGTGAAGGACACCATCTGTTACTAAATTAGAGTTTGGGGCATCTATCAGAATGGTTTGATCTTTCCTTGTGGAGGTCTGTGTCCAAATGTCTAAACCCCACTGTTTTCCTAACAGCAACACAGTTCAGAGTTTAGGTCCATGTGAGCTTTCTACTTGCTGTCAGACTGGACTGGTCTACTCCAGGAGAGGGGAAGAAAATAAATATGGCTCACTTACCTGACAGTTCTCCCCTTGGTTAGTTTTTTCCAAAATTCTGGTCCACTCCTCCATTCATTTTTAAGGAAGACGAAAAGAAAGGCCCGGAGAACCTTAAAAGATCCACAGACTCACAGTCACACACCCAAGCAGCTCCGTGTGTCTCTGAGAACCTGTCAGAGCAGTTTGGCCTCAGTGCGGCACACAACTGGAACTGAGGCAGAGCCTGTTCAAAGTAACTTTACCAGTTCTGCAGTAATCTTAAAAAACTGGCAAAACAGGATTCGTGACACCAGCAAATCCAAATAGCTCATTTCACTTCCACCCTTGGAAAAAGAGCAAAAAAACTATTCAAACAGTTTTCAAGGTCTGAATCGGGGCCCTGGGAAGTTGTTTGGTTAGGGGAGTTTCAAACGTAAATTCGGTCTGCACGAGGACTTTGAACGTGTCACGTTTCTCAATCCAGAAACATTTTGGGTGCTTAGAAAGTTAGTTAGCATATTCACACAAGTCATAAAATAACATGCACTGCGGACAAAGAAATTTGGCACACACACATATACAGTACCTTTTAATGAACATCAAAAGCCAAGAGTGGAAACATCACCAATCTACAAGGGACAAGCTGCATGTTCCTAGTGTATAAAACTGGTGGACACTATGATTGTAGTGCCTTCAAAAGTGCACTGCCACTGACCATGTGCTTTGCACGGTTTCACAAGTATCAGTGCAGAATTCCATTGCCCCTCTGCACAGTTCTCATAGAGAAAATTGATTAAACTAACAACATTTCTAAGCAGCCTACAGTATATACCAGAGATCTCCAGCCTTGGTCCTGGGAAGCCCAAATCCAGAGGGTTTTGTAGGCTACCATTGAAGGACCAATTCCATTGTGATCAATTACACAAGCAATTTGGTCAAGCAATTAAGAGGTCGTTTGGGACTAAAATCAAAGAACTCCCCACCCTAAGGACCAGAGTTCTATTAATTGAACAGATTACTTGCTTGATTCTTCAGTACCTTACCGGTGTTGCAAATCTTTAAAATGGGTGACCTGTAGGATTAAGAGCATTATGGCTTTCCAGGACCAAGGCTGGAGACCCCTGCTATGCACATTACACTAAGAAAGTTGAGGTAGAGGTCAGAGCTAATAAGTTAGGAAACAAGTCAGTTGGGTATAGTTGAGGAATACTCCATTAAGACATTTTCTCATTCACTCCCAGATCAAACGAGACCCCAGAGTTTTCATCTTAGCTTTACTAATGATTAGTTATCATAGTCTATGGAACCGTTCTACCTGAAGTGTGTTGGTAAATTATTAATTTTATATATTGTTTTTAAGGAATGAAAGATTAAGATGATTCTTTCGTCGACACATGCTTGTGGCTCTGCAGGTAAGGCCAGAATTTGTGGTGGAATGTCGTGAATCTGTGTTCCTCATATGAACGCTCTCACCAAATTGGTACGTTTCAAAATCCCTGGGACAGAGTTGTGAACGCCAGCAGAGATTTAATTGGTACAAATAAGAGTTCAGTTCGAAGACAGTAGTTCAAATATTCATTAGATTTTAAAGTAGAAAGCCCAACCACAACCACCAGTGTCCTCAATAATCTATGTCTTTTCTTTTCAAGTGAGAAGAGCTAGTGTGAAGCATTTAGTAGAAAGCAGGTGAATCATCACACAATGATGTCTTCCAAGATTTCCCGATTCTCAAACTAGAAAAGCTGGGTTGACAAAAAATTAGATACCACCGTCACACTGTAATGAGTACAGACTGACATTGAATTTCAAAAGCGAATAGAGAAGATGCAGTACGTTTTGGATGTTGGTGATTAGTGATTGCACACTCTCAGGCGAAAGATCGCAAGTTGCAAGAGACAGAACCGCTCCAATAATCGCCAGCGGAGCAATGGTGAAAAATGTTGAGAAACTATAAATTCTTCCAGTGGACAGCTTGTCTTTGTTCAAACCACTCACACTGTAAATGTCCCTTTTTAATATTTGAGTTATGTTGTGCAAGAGGAATGCCAAATATGCACAGGCAGGCATGTCAGTGTTTATCACTCAGGAGATCACTCAGGAGATCGACCGCAACAGAAAAAAAAGGTTAGGTGACATGTTTTCCTCATTTGGGTTCCTGTGTTTGTTCTGTTTCCTGGTCATTAGGCACCAACATATTAATTTCAACCTGTCTGAGCTGCCTGACCCTCAGTGACCCTGGGTCAAGGGGATGAATGGATTCACTAAAGCAGGTTTTTATGCATTTATCACACTGGACCAAGAGTGACATGGGCCTGCATCAAGCTGATATTCTGACGTTAACCTTTCAGTTGTAGCTTCTCATTTTGTGATTTCTGGGGGAGTTTGTTTTTTAAGGAGATTAAAAGCAAAACTTCAAAAGATAGGCTGCTATGTGGACCTGAGTCTAATAATGGAGAGTTTCTCGGGGCCAAAGGTCAAAGGTTGAAGATCAACAACTTCCAATCTGTTTTGTGTGTTTTTTCCCCATTCGATTCAGGATGTTGCGACTCATATGCCAGAGCTGGGATTGTTAAAAGGACGGAGTGAGTTGCCAGTGCACACACATCATTTCAGTTCTTCTTTGTGTTCCATTTGAACATTGCAGAAGTTGTACTGGGATCCGATCTGAAATGAAAGGTGGTACAAGGTGTAACTAGTAAAAAGGAGAAGTTAAGCCACATAGCATTTACAGGCAGAACGTACTGCAAAAGAATGTGGACCTATTGTGTGAATTGCAAAACTCAAGAGTAACTAATCCAAACAAAAACTGTACCAGGATGAATGTATTCTACAATGGCTGGGAACGATGAGATAAACCACACACACTACCTTGTCCCTCCATAATGCATTGGTTTTAGCAATGTTGCCAAGTGTAGCCATTTCTTTACCTAAAAAGGATAAGGCATTCCTTCTCTGGTTTGCCAACGAGGACAAAACCATTTTTTAAAACCTTTTTTTTCCCCCACTTGCCTCATAAGTATTTTCTATTACTAGGAGCTACTAAGCACACACTCGCAGCAGCTGAAATGGCAACGCAGTTTCTGCCACGCTGACACAGAATGGAATTTGTGCTTCTCTTTTGTTGACACAATTGTCCTGCTCGTTCTCCTAAAAACCTGAGGGCCTAGCACCATCCTCGCATGACTGCTAATTCTGCCCAAAGGCAGTTCTGCAAACTCAGCCTTTCACTAGAAACCATGCTCACCTGAGTAATGAGGCAGAGCTATTGAACAGGGCAAAACTGTTCCTGGACTTGGTTTTTGTGAGTCTCCTGACTATGCTTTTTGCTCATGTTACTGACCTGCCATTTTTCAAGGTCTCCATTACAGAAAGGATCTCATTTATCTGTGGTGGAGCCGTGCACATTTGCAAAATCCACCTTCTGCAGCTCGGATATGCTGTCTAAAATCCTCAAGGCCAGATGATAAAATAAAGCATGCAGGCCAAGATTAAATCTTTTCATGGTAGAGACTTGAAATGCTTTTAAAGAACAATGAGGAAGATGGCTCACATGGATCATCCTGATTTATAGGTTTTGTAATATTCTTGTCCATAGTAAAAGACAATAATCAAAACTCAAAAAGATAACAATGGAAATCCACCTGTAACAACTGTCACACTCACTTAACTCCATATATTTATGGTCTTTTAAACCAAACCAAAGTTTTGGCATAGAAAATACCTTCAACATGTACTGATAATGCACTCTCTGTGCGACCTGCTTTTTTCAATTATTTCTAAAGGACAAAGAATAGGCACTGTTATAAAGATTGCAAGTAAGAACATTCAACAAGAGAAACTGTGAGGACTTTGGGACACTCAAAATGATATATTGGTACAAAAAAAAACATTAAGAGTTACACCATAACATAGACTGAAATCTATGGTTTTGAAAACAGTTATGTTCTTTAATGTTGGTTAAGGTTACCATAGCCTACAAAAGCTTATCTTACCCTCAGACCTTAATGCTGGTGCTGAATATAAGTATGATGTAAGTGTGATGCAGAAAACCAGAATAGCATGGATAGCATGGAGTTCTCTCTGTCTATCATGCTATCATTGAGAGTTCATGAAGGAATCTGCATAATGTAACGTTATAATGTTAAACGTTGAGGTTCTTTAGTTGGATTACAGGGGTGCAAAGTGTGATAAAATAGGGCTCTCTCAATGACATGCAAACCTCATAAGAAATGTTTTGCACCTGAGCTGTCAGTTTGAGAGACACCATGATTAACAGGAAATGCATTCTGCTCCTTTTCTTTTCATTGATTGGAGGGGCACAGACGTATGTTTGCAACAGGGATCTTGTAAAAGTCGAAGTCTCTACAAAACGATTGAACCTGGATTATGTCAGCCTACTTAAAAGCACCCTAATAACCTCGCACTGATAAGGCTTCAAAGAAAGGCTAGATTTATGCACAACTGCAAATAGCTTTGAAAATATTGTTGCATAAATGTTTATGCAATATTATTGATGAAGACAGGAAGGAAAATACAAGATTTTCCATTGATTCAGACTTCAGTGATTCAGATAAATTGGTTACTTATGAACATAATTGGCTCATTTAGGTCTTTATTGTCTAAAACATCAATAACTGAGTTTTCTTCCTTCTGTCTGTAATCCTCTTTTAATGATGATAAAATAATAATAGATAATAATTATGGTTATAATTAGTATAATTATACTACTTATAATAATTATTATTATTATATTAGTAATTGGTTATTATATATTAGAATTAAACTACTACTACTATTATTATTATTATTATTAAAGTGCAACAGCACACACAACAAAGAAAGGGAGTTATGAGCCGATGCAGAGTCAGTACTCGGGCCCCAGAGTTCTGGATATTTTCTGAAGAATACCACAAAAACCAATCCGTAAGTCACGTAAGGCATGACTGCAATCTAATTGCATGAAGATATATAGCAATATTTTAGCATAAGAAAGGCCAGAGCAGGGGTCTTAACAGAACTGTGTCAGACAGGTGGAGGAAAGGTGCCCTTGAGAAATTCATGACATGCGCTTAATTAACTTAATTTGCTGATTATCTGATTGACAGTTGGCGATTCTGTATTGGGGGAAGTGCATAAAACCATTTCCAGTTTTTGAAGCTTTTCCAAACATAAGGAATTTAAGGAAGTAGAAAATCAAGCTATTGTTAATAATTTGTCAGGCTTTTTTTCTTTCGTGTCAGCCTGCAAATACTCCCCAGTGTTATGTAAACAGAATTAAGTTTTAATGTAATGTAATCCATATTTCTTTTATTAAGAAATATTTTAAAATCCAATGGTTCACAGCTTGTAAAACAACTGGTGCCACTTTAGCCATAGTAACTACTGTAAACTACTTCCCTTAACATGTTGATATTATGATAAGATCACTTAAAGCAGACATAACTTTACACAGAGCAATAAGAGGACAGCCATTTATTATTGTACTGGCCTTTATGTTTTAATTAGTTGACTGTTAATGTTTACATTCTGATGGTGCTTGTGAAAGTGTTTTAATGGAAAGGTCATTCAAGAGCGATTTCCTCCTACAGTCCAAAGACATGCTGGCGGGTAAATTGGCTTCTGGGAAAACTGGCTCTGGTGTGAGTGTGCGTGCCGTGACCCTGAATTGGAATAGCAGTTATCGAAAGCGATGTGGTGATGAAGATGATGGTGCATTGCATTGCAGTGGCTCATCCTACAAATCCTTGAACTGAACTGGGAGAGTAGGAGCTGGAGTTACTGTGTCCTGGGTTCGAAGACATGTTGGACAGCGCAAGAGTGCAGGACTGAAGCGCAGTCAAACTAGATCCTGCCAGGTTGCAATCCTGGTCGCTTGTGGGCTCAGAGTGCTGACAGTGCTGGACAGCCCGCCACAAGAGGGAGCCGCAGCAGAGCTCGACACTGTCCAGGGTTCTGAGGGGGACGATGTCACCGTGCTCTGTTACACAAGACCCTACAGAGAGAGGGGGAGAGATGAATCGGAAACAAGACACCTTCTCATTCCTTGTCATCTAAAGCCGGGCAGCACAGGCACAGAGCTGCTCCTGGAGAACCCTGCGCCTCCTGGTTTTCACTCCAGCCGAGCTTAATTACCTGCGTCACTGAACGCAAAAGGCAGCACGACTGGAATATTGGACATCTTTGCTTTGTACCCAAAACTTTGGGATTTCACTTACTTACAAAATTCCAAAGCTGAAAGGCAACCTCCAACATGATAAAGAGCCGATAAATAACAAACCATCCTAATGAACCAGATTATATAAGCAGCAAAAGGCTCGATTGTGTAAATAAAAGCTCACAGACCAGCAGGTGTGTTAGCATTCAGGAACAGGACCTGCTGGGTACCCCTGATAGTGATTATAAACCCAGGCTTTTGCTACAATATGAGTGTTATTAGTCAAAAGAGAAACGGCACTTCAGGAATGGCCCACAGTGGTGTCCAGTGACGTCCAGGATGCAGTAGCAGTGAAACAGGCTTCAACAAACAAGACATTGCATCTCTTCAGAGCACAGATCCCCTCTGCTCTGAAGCACTGCTCCCTGCTTCTTTAGTGCCAGCTGCTTTTCAAACCATCTGGACTGACGCTTCGCTGAATGCTTTCCGCTGCTTAATTGAATAAAATAAGGTGTTAATTGGACCTTTGTGAGGTTTCCTGGGTTTCACAAAAAGGTGAGGTGCTCAAGACAAGTTGGAGTTTCTATGGATAAAATAAAATCTCCTTTAACAGTTTCAGGGAAGAAATCAGTTCAGAAGGGTTTCAGACCCTTGAATTTCGTTTGGTGTTCAATTAAACAGTGAGGAGCCCCTCTTAAACAAACGCCGACATGCACTGGGGACCCCTGCTTTTCTTCACACTGAGACAGCCCAGCTCTCTTCAGGCTGAATTTGAAGAAGTGCTCACTCTGCAGAAGTACCCTGGTCTAACAGATGTATGGAAAAACATCATAACTGTTCCAGATAACCATGTAGTTCGAAAATACCGACATTTCATGCCTTTTTGTTTTGTTGGCGGGGCTTCACAATGTTTGCGATATATCGCTGCCTGGACCGTATCAATTCGGAAACTGTACAGTGTAAGAAAAAGCGTCATTTTACATTCGAGTGTATCTGGAAACGATATGTCTCCCCCTGCCGGCACTTCAGTTACGCAGTTTGGGGATAGGTTTAGTGACATTAAAGCTAATTAATGTTATTTAACAAATTAACTGCACTGGCTTAGGAATGGATCAGTTTGTGTGGTTATCTCGGTCTGTTTCATTTATCCGTACCTTATCGTTTAGAGCACGTAGGTAAGGATATTACCCTATCATTCATCGTAACAGTGCACATTATATTGACATATTCATCTGGTGCGTCCATGGTCTTTAAATCAGCACAGCCTCTTTGCCTGTATTTCATTCACACAGCCCCGCTATATCAGAGCCCCTGGGAGTCTGGGCCTGGGTCCGGGACATACAAGGACATCCTGCAGCAGTCTTACAAACACGGCAGAGAGCCTTCAGTGAGCAGGTACTCGGGGGCCACCCACGAGTCTCAAGGAGCTGTGTTGTCAAACACCGGCTGGCCGTGATTTATGCCTGCCGGAGTGGGACTCGGCTCGATAATGTCTGAACTTCCATCATTCACAATACAAAGGAGAGGACTGGAAGTGGTTAGTCAGTTCTGCATATAATAGGATCTTGGCAAGGGGACGGCAGGGGGGTGTTTTTTTTTTAACCTTCCTTTTAATATTGTTCTCGCCGCAGTTGTTTACTTACTGCAGACTGTTCTAACCTTCAGGCGTTTATTTAGAAACGCCACCTCGGGGTCTACTTGAGGGACCATTAAGACTGTAGAGGTTTTCCAAAAATAAACCTGTATAACAATATTGCCCGGCCGTAGGTGTTACGAAGTTTCGGTTCTCGAAAGGCTAAAGAAAACAGGCTGTCCTAGACGGAGTAAGTGACCTTGATTGAAAAAAGCATTTCTTTTTCCTCATTAAAGGCCCTATTAAACTAGCAGTCGTCAAAACGCTAATGCGCTTTTATTTTATGCGATACAAAAAGTACTGGACGTGAAAATAAGCGAGCTGTTAATGCTGTTGATGCACCCGTACAGAAGGCTCGTTAATTATGGGTTGATTCATAAGGTTAATTGCGGGTTTGTTTGGTTGTGCGTTAAAAATAACTTTTTCTAAACTTTGGTTTTTTTGGGGGGTGGGGGACCCGGAAGGCAGAAAAAGGGGGTGACATCCGCGTGTTGTCACAAATGATAAATCAAGGGCCGCGGTAAAAAAAAACAATCGGACTGCTGGCGTTTAAGCATGGGGCATTTTAATTTGATAATGCATTCCGGGATTAACAGAACACAACTGCACTCGGAAATACACAGTCCAGAAAAGACAAAGGTAACAGTCCGCCTCTTGAACCGAGGGATGGAAAAAGAACAAGCAGCGACTTTCACACTAGCTTTCTACCTGTAGGCCCCGACACGCGTGGCCTGCGCGCCCGTGATGAAGCTCGTCGGTCTCTGGAAGACAAACAGGTGTCGCAGCCGTGCCGTGCCTGGGGATCAAATCTCCACCGAGAGTATTACAATAGTTATTACTGTAGCATACGTGTATTGTGATTACAGCTTCCGTTTATATAAACTACTGAACTTTATGAAACTAGTGCTCATCTCTCAAACCTTGCTCGCCGCGATTTATGTCTTCTGGGTGGGAATTTAAGGTGGGCACGCAATAAAGGATTAATAGAAATCTTTAAAACTCAACTAAAGGATCTAGAAAGAAACCCTCTGAACAAGTCGGTGAACACAGGCCAACCAACGTCTCTGGGTGTTTTTTTTTTTTAATGTCACACATTCTTGACACACACAAAAAAAAACCCCAACAACATTAAAATATGTCGACAAATCGCAGCCCGGAGAAGACTTTAATTACGGGCTGAAGAAGAGCAGGATAACCTTGTCAAATTTCATGGCCTCATCCAGAGAACACTTCTTCGGACTCAGCGAGTTATAATCCCTCTCTTATAAATAATGCTGACGTCTGCTGCCAAACATGAAAGGGGTTACCTCAAATAAATTACTACAACTACAAAATGACCGTATCCATCTTCATTTACAATAATGGCTCTGGACTGGAGCTGGGGAAAAGCATTAGGATAACATATATCACGGAGAATGTGTAGGCTGTGATTGGGGCGAAGGGAAGGAAAAAAACTTTTTAAAGTCACGTGTGTTTAAGTGAGGCAGATGTTAACTTCCCCACCCACACCCCTCCTCCCCTCCCCTCCTTGAAAAAGATATAGTGCCTTGAAATCAAAAGCTCTTTCACCTCGGCGGTGACCTGCTGTAAGACAGGCTTTTGTAAATGACCGAGTGCTTCTGCGCTGGAGACGAAATGTCTTGCGTGAGGCAGGGGAGTGAACCTTCTTCTTAAATCACACCCCCGGCTAATAGCACCTGATTTACGGCTCGCATCACGAACTAGCAGCCACAGTTGGGCTCCGTCAGTCACAAAAGCCGCCTTTTCTCAGACCCCGCGAGTGAGCTGGTGCCTGTCGCCGAGACACTGGAAAGAAACTCGGCTGGCAGTCCGTCTCTCTGGGTTCAGAGAGAATATCTCAGAGAGCGCACGGCTGTGCAATTCTAGCCTTCAAAAACTTTAAAACAGAAAATATCAGAAAATAGGAAGCATAGCTCTATTCATCGTCAGGCCCTGCAAAGAACTGAGTCCACAGTTTAGTTAAATAAGTAACGGATGAAATCCGATGTCTGTGGAGTCACTTCTCGGGCTTCACCCGACTCTGAATCCTTCTTATCGATTTATCACTCACGCCCGAGAATATTTGTTAGGCACAAAATGTAACGCCTCAGTCAATCCATCCTCAGGATGTGCTGCGCCGCCCGATGGACAACACGCTTACCTGTGTGGTTTGTCCGCAGTGCACTAAATCAGCCTGTTATTTAGTTTAACATTTCGTTTCGGCCGTTTTGCCCACCGTGGTGTTTTCAACGATTCTTGACAAGGTTAATGCCTTACAGTGCTTTAAACAGAGTCCAGAAGTTCCCACTAACAATCGCCAGAAATTCAGCAAAAGGATCTGTTCTTCTTTTCCAGTAATCATTCAACCGCCGAGTTATGCTAACAGAGCGAAGTGTGTCCTAAAGTTTACCCCCACCACCACCACAAAAAAAACACAGCCTCTGAGGGCACCCAAACGAATATCAATGTCAAAAAACATATTAGCCCGCTCATTAACAGGAAGAGAAGTCTTCTTGTTATGCTATTAAATCAGAAGAAAGTTGACGTAAACAATGAAGAAAGACGAAAGAGATGGCTGATGTCCCAGAGCAACCATCTGAATATTACGGCTTCATTCCCCTCTGATGATCTGAGAGAATTTATAAGGCCATTAGGCCTGATTGCAGAGCATTGCCAGTCAGCGTGTCCATCTATCCTGGAATCGTCTTGGATAGGAAAAGATCAATCAGACTTTAAAGGGATGTGCTCTGCAGTAGTGTTTATAGCCATGACTGCAGTGATATTAAACAGATTGCTAGAAAGTAATTAGGCAATTAAATGTAGATGTATTCGAAGCCGACCCAGTGTTTTCTTACCCTCTTATGAACAGATAAGAAAAGTCTAAAAATTAAATACCAGCAAGAAAAAAAAAATGTGCGGGATAGGTCTGAGAGAAGCAACAAAGTCAGGTTATTTTCAACGTACAACTCGAGTTTTTTTTTCCCCCTTTCACTCGCAGATAAACGCACTTTTTTTTGTTCTGGAGAAAGAGAACGGTCTGACATTCCTCCAGCTTTTAGGATCAAGTCACTTTCTAAAGCTGGAACAGCGAATTTGCGCTCTTCGGCCTTACCCAATAAAATACCTAAGATACCAAAGGTAACTTGGGAAAAAAAAGGGCTTAATGTTGATTAACGACTGACTGACCAAACAGTCAATCCGTTTACTTGGGTGCTCCCTCCAGAGCATTCCAAATCTATTGGGGGAAAAAATAGATTTGATTTTTTAACAGGACTGATAGAAATAAACAGAGTTTATCAGTTTTAACCCTTGAATGGCAAATGCAGTTAGTATTTACCAAGAAAGATTGACGAGTCTTGAAGAGGCGAGGAATGACGAAATGAATTTTTGGGAGAATGACTACTTACCGCCGCCCGCCGCATATATTTGAAAAACCTGGGAATGCTTGCGTTGCGATGACAGGAACAGATTGGTCTGAATAGTCTCTCCATTTCACAGAATGTGCAATACAATCCGTTGTTAAAATCACAGCAACACCGATGCCATAACAATCGCTGCACTGAGGAAGGGACCGTTAGTCTGCTGGTTACCAGCTACGCATAAAGAAAAAGCAGATTGTTAAAGGCTGGTGGAACTGAAAACAAGCTAAGCCAATTACGTGCCCGTGAGAATTTCAGTAGCCCTTGTTTTTACCATTTTAACTTTTCCGTACAAAAGTTGTTTTTGTACCTGGCAAACCAGTTCCTTTTATGTTGAAATAAATCAAAATATCCTGCAATCTACCAGATTACTAGTTACACCTATTTAACATTAATCCCCCACGCAACTCACTTTTAAATAGGTTTATAATTTAGGCTAAATGAATCAAAGCGCAGTGCCTTCCGTAGGTCACTGCAGACTGTCTTTCAATCAAGTAAAAAAGTCCTAAACACCTTATAAATCAATGTTCTAATTTCAATAATGGTGACTGGGTGGTCCATTTCTGTTACATTTAATGTTACATTGCCAAACATGCGCACTTAAATAAACCGCGATAAAAAGCCATAAACATTTTTTTTCGCAACGCAGCGAATGTTTGACATCGATTTAAGCAGTTTCAAAACTAATAAACAATTGTCACTGTAACCTGCGATACAAAGCAGAAACCATTGAGCTTTTAAAGCACATCAAAGCCTCTAATAAGCAGTTTTGAGATCTGTTATACTCTTTACAGGACAGCCTTTGGACAAATGCGTTCAATGAGTCCATAGGTACATAGTCACACCTTACAGCCAGGGCCTGGAATCTCGTTCAGCTTCTGTCTGCTTTTAAGGAATACCTGTGATCATTGAAAAATACCTCTCCAATAACTTAAAATGAGGTTATAAAATAAATGTGTCTTATTTGTTAGTAGAACAAAACAGAATTAATAAAATGAAATACTGAAATGTTATTTTCACTAAATTTAGGGTTCATTCAACTGTCATTTGAGTAATTCTTCAAAAAGAATGATGAATTCTGCAACGGTTTCCTGAAAAATCCTCCTTCGGGAAGCTATAGAACAACTAGGATTGATGGACAATACAACCGGATCATCCTGGAATGCTGAATACGAGAGAATCCTAATCAAGAACTATCAATTCAGTTTTAACACGCTGTTGTAATGGGTCTGAGCGAGTATGAAGCTAAAGTTTATCCGTGCATTTAAAACGTTCACATAATTCATCTTGTCTGAAGAAACCCCCCAAAATATCGTGAAATTTCAGATTATGAGGAGGAATTCAAAACATCACAGAATTTCTTTCCTAGTATGGGATCGAACAGTTCAAATGAAGTTTAAGTTCTTAGTTAAAAAGCAAACATATAATTTTCCCTGTAAAATGCATCATCTCTATCGCTTGTTCTGTGCAGCTATTAATACCCGCTCCACAGTGACATCAGTATGAATGTATGAATAAAAACAAATGAGCTAGATGGATTGAATGACTTCCTCTCATTTGTAGCATTCTTACGTAATGCTGACAGTTTTACTAACCATGGTGCTGTTTATCAACTTTCCTGTTTTTCTAAAGTCTAAATTATCTGACTCCTCTATGAAAAAATCGGTTTAGGACAAATTTCTCTTGCTTTTACAGAGCGGCTCAAGGAAAGATCAAAGCGCAACTTTACAACAACTAAAATCTGACAATGGATAAAAGTAAGGCTTCGTCCTGATTATACAAAGGCCCCAGACTCCGATGCTCAAACGACTGAGCTCTACATCAGAGAAGAGCGTTTTAACTCTTATCTTCCCTCAAAGAATGGCAGGAGCAACGCAGACAAAATTCAACACAAAGTGACCAATGAAAATAGCCTAATAGGCCATTGGAGTGAAACGCATACTGTCCTCAGAATACTTTTCAATGAAGTGTAACTGTAGACGTGATAAGAGACTTTCAAGCACAAAATGAAATACACAACACCCTTCAAATACATTACTTTCACAAATGTATTATGTGCAACAAATTTTGTTTGACGTGTTAATTTAAATACTAATTTGACAATGGTGCCTCTTCTAAGCTGAGTGGGCACTCACTGATTAAACTGTGCTCAGATAAACTAATTTATGACAGTGGGTATGCATACCTATTTCTTGATTTAAGACAATGGGTATACATAGCTATTGAAGTCCATCTGTTATAATAAGTCTTCATATCCCATGTCAAAACAGTCAACTCCCATGAAATATTAGCTACCACCATTTAGGATGAAACTATAAAGAGATTTTCTTGTACTTTGTAAAGGCTCCTGGTGCAATCAATGTGCAGGTCTGGTGCCAACACAATTTCAGTCTGTAGCACAGCAAATTGATTGCCTAATTAACTGAGCGATTTCCTGAATCATCTAGTTCATCGAGTGCACAGTTCTAGGCTTTCCTAGAAACCAAAACCACCAAACATAGAAGCTACTTTCTTTATTTGCATGGCAGCTTTGCAGTATGGGACAGGAATTCTTCTCATTAACAACAAGACCTGCATGGGGGACAGTGTCACAGCTACTGCCTCACAAAGCAGGTAGTAGGCCTGCGTCCACACGGTGCAGATGGCTGTGTGGATGTAAAAAAGGAGAGTGGGAGAGGGGAGATAGAGGAGGGGTGGGTTGGGGGAAAATAGTATAATAATAATAATAATAAACTTTATTTTATATAGCGCCTTTAAAGGTGGCTTCTCAAAGCGCTTTACAGGATGACAATAACAATAAATAAGAAGACTACAACAATAAATAAGAAAATTTCACAAGACAGGACACAATTATAATTACAACAATACAACAATAACAATAGAGGAGACCGTGGAAGGTGGTATTAAGAAGAGCAGAGGGGTGAAGAATGGAACCAGTTAAGTAAAGGCTTTACTGAAGAAGAAAGTTTTGAGTCTGGATTTGAAGGAGTTTAGAGAAGGTGACTCTCTAATATCCTTGGGTAAAGAGTTCCAGAGCTTGGGGGCATAGCAGGAGAAGGCCCTGTCGCCCATACAATGTAGAAAATGCAGAAAATAGTGTTGTGAGATTCTGACGTATGCCTCGGTAAACCAAGAGAGAAGGGCATTGTGCTTTGGTCATTACAATTCTCCACTTCTCCTTCCACTCGGTGATATTTTTTCCAAAACACCCTTGTATCTTTGACAGGGTGGTAACTCTTAGAGCGCCCTCTCTCCCTCCTCCTCCGCCTCCCTCCCTGCTCCCAGTCTCCTGTCTGCTGCAGGAAAAGGCCGGCCTTCTGTGCAGGAGACAGCCTGACTGGGATAGGGGGAGCCAGTCACAGAGGGGGTGGGTGTGTGTGTGTGTTTGGGGGGAGAGAGATAAGTAAACTTTCTGAGCTCTGACATAAATTACTTCAAGGCTTGACAGCAGGACACTGACCAGGGCCACAGATAAGGCAAGGAGAGTAAACCTTGTAGGTTTGTCTCCCTCAGCCCACTATGCCACCCCTGGCTCTCCCACCACTGCTCTGCGGCTAAGGTATTTCACAATTCACACGTCTAATTGGGAATAAGGTTAAAAATATCAATGTGTGAGGCAGCTGCACATTCCCGTCACCTTGGCTAAAGAAAGGAAGCATTGTTCTGGTTGTCTAAACACTCAAGCGGGCCAGCTGGTTGGTACTTTCTGTTTTTTAACATACACTTGTTGTTGTTTCTTTTCAACCCTACGCAGCATAACAGACAGAAGATGGCACCTTGAAAAAAATGGAAGGCGGGGGATGAGGTATCACCTCAACCCCAGGAGCTTTGCTGGAGCTGATATGCTTAGAGGTGTATTACTGTGTTAGGAGAGCTTTTCAGCCTGTAAGGCTTAAAAAGCCAGAAGCTTGCCCGACTTTTCTGATTTTCACTACAATTCGCAGGGCAGCCTAATATTACAGAGTCTTGGGGATGAGCTCATTAAACAGCGACAGCCGTGAGAGGCAGTGCACTCTTTAGCTGACATGTCATCCAGTGTGTGCAATCACCCCGTTATCACTCCAGGCAGATGTTAACAACGCACCCCAGATGCCCACGGAAAAGGGACACCTGAAGAAATGAATAAACAGCACTTCCTGAAATAATATCACTCTACACAGAACTGACACTCTGAGGCACGAGTGGGTTTAGAATTGATGCACCGCAATGTTTTTGGAAATTAACTATAACAAATATCACTTGGGGCTGATCCTTTAAATAACATTAAAATCCAGCACCGCCAATGTGTAATATTTAGGTTGTAACTTCAGGGGAGTAATAGTTTAAAAAAGAAGGCTGTTTTTTAAACAGACATTCTGCACCTCTTATTTGTCAGGTTTAGAGTGTCAGGACACTATGATTTTTAAGATAAGAGCACACATTGAGCAAAATACCGCAAGGTACTATTACTTAGTAATAATGAACTGGGGTTTATAATCTATTTGAGTGTTTAGCATTTCTGTCTAGGCAATTTTCAGTCTGTTTATTTCACTGCCTAATTCATTACCCACCTAAATGTCTAATTGTTTACTTGCAAAGGACTGCACATATACAGACTCTGCCAGTGTGTGTTACGCCTCTATTAGAAAATTTCAATTCCCTTTATAATGTGAAAAACTGGAAAAATAAATTGACAGGGAACAAAGTTGAGTTTTCTTCATCGTTTTAGAGATGTGTGGGGCTATTACAGATGTGCCATCAGAGGTGTGCAGCATTCGTATAGCTCCCTCCATTCAACTGGAAGTCACATACAGTAATTCGGGTCAAATTGTGATGGTGAATTACAGAAAGAGATGGGAATGCAGCTGGACGATTGTTTCAGACTCTAAGCGCTTATGGAGCTCCAGAAGCCATGGGGCTTCACACAGTGTTATCTGTACTCTCACCTACAGCTGACGGACAACTGAAGAATTTAATATCTACCAGGTACAATTACAGGCTAAACTGAGAGATAGTTTGGTAGATAGACAGACAGAAGCAAACAGCTGTCCCACGTTACAGATTTACACTCCCAGAAAGGCGCACACAGACTGTGAAGGATACTTGGAGAAGACAGGGGATACTGTAAGTCTCTGTGCATTGAGTTAACACACACACTCACTCCTGTGCTTATCAGCTATCATGTGAAATGGAATGGACTCTGGGAATGGAAAAATTTAGCTGAGGGCTTTAAAACAAATACAAGACTTGTTTTCTGGCTAGACACA